TGCAGCACCTCGGACAGCGCCGCGCCCGCCGGCCGGCCAGGCCCAAACTCCCTCCTCCGGCCCGCGAGCCGGGCCGCTCCCCGCCGGGCTGCGAGGCACCAGGCGCATGACGGTCCCGTCCTCTCCTTTGTTCTTTCGCCCCATCCCTGTTTTTTCCATGAAGCCAAAAGCGCATTTTCATAAATAGACCTTGGCCAAGTGCTGGCCATGAAATTTTAATGAAGTCTGGATGCTGAGTGCTGCTCGGAGGGGCCTTGGAGAATTAGCTCAGTTAGCTACATTAGCAGGGCCCTTCTCTCTCTCTTCTCTCCCTCCCTCCCTCTCTCCCTCCCGCCGCCATGGCTCTTCCCCTCTCAAGGCAGCACACTCCAGTCTGCTACTCCCTCCTGCCTCAGCCGGGACCCCCCACCCGCCGCCGCACGCAGCACACACACAGACGCACACGCGCACACACGCACGCACACACAACCCGGGGAGGCAGCTCAAGTCCTACCTTCGAGGCCAGTGCCCTTGAAAGAGGCAAGGCAAGTCAAGCAAGGCAGGGAGATCTGATCCCCAAGCCCCGCACTGCTTTGGAGGGAGAGCTCACAGGTGCACCTCACACCCCTAGTATTAAAAGTTTTAAATGCAGGCGATGCAATATTTATCACCTGAGATAATAAAAAGGCAAGGCAGTATTTGCCAGTCACCGATTCAAACCGCTTAAGCAAATGCTAGGCTGCAAAGTCGATCTGGGGGGACGAGCTGGCTTCATTTTTTATTACTATTATTTTTATCATTATTTCCAAGGGACTTGCTAGAACAAAAAATAAAAAAAGATACTTTCTATTCATCAGAATTGTGTTGACAGCCGCCAGGTAAGAGTGACTTTCTCCAGACCAGGGGATCTCTGTGACATCCGGATTAGCCTGGACAAGGTTTAGATGAAAGGAGGGGAATGATCTAAGCTGCCACCTCTGAAACGAACTACAATTATGCATGTCTTGATCTCTAGCGAGCAGAACAAAAAACCCGCGTGCCTGTTTTCACAAGGATTAGAGAGAACAACATCATTAGGAACAGAATCAAAGCAAATAAATGGACGGAGCCCGAATCAGCAAATGAGCGACTATTAGATTTAACAATTAAGAAAACTAGCAAATTAATCGTATGTCTAATTTAGCATTGTCAGTAGTAGGATTTCCCCCCACCGCTTCTCTTGATCTTTGTTATATCCTAGTGATATTAGCCCAGTACTGTGTGTCTATGCAGATGTGGAACTGAAGTTATTTGGGAAGGTCTGTCGGTTTGCCTGGAAACAAGAGGGGATAGCGATAGGCAGGGATGGAGAAGGAAGTTGGTGTTAAGAAGCCAAACTTTGCTGCTCGGGTTTTCCTAGTAGTGCGCGGACGAGATGGACTTGAATGTGGGATCGGATCGTTTCTGCTGAGCTGGCTGGTTTTCCTGTAATGGCATCGATCAGAGGGGAGGCTTGCAAATGTCGTATTGGCCAGCGAGGGGCTAGGGAGGAAAAGGCAAGGAATGGGAAGAGAAAGTGGTTCCTTTTCATGGCCAGGTGAAGAGAGACTCGGCTGCAGTTTCTCCCAGCATCTGGCTATAACTTGAGGATCATTCTCAGATCGCCAGCGCTCCTGAATGCACAAAACCAGCCAGGTGAAACTGATCGTCCTTCCCTAATTATTTCATATTAAAAATTAAATCCTACAACAAAAGACTATTTAGAACAAAATAGTTCCACACGTGTAAATTCGTCGACTCTCCTCTACGGAGCAGCGTTGAGGGACTGGACTCTGAACTCTAGGATCTTTCCCCTGCAAGGAGAATGGGGGGACGCTTGTGACACGACGCCGATCCGGGCCACTGAATTACAGAGCTCGAGTTAACTGCACAAAGAACCCATTCATAAATTATTTTGGTCACAGTTTTACTTCTTCTGCTATTTCCAACCC